GATGAGTACACATGGACACATGGGGCAGAACAGCTCACACTGGTGCCTGTCAGAGGGTGGAGGGTGGGAGGAGTGAGAACATTAGGAAGAATAGCTAATGGATGCCAGGCTTACTACCTGGGTGATGGGATGGTCTGTGCAGCAAACCACACTGGCATTTGTTTACCTATGTAACAAACCTGCATATCCTGCACATGTACCCCTGACCTTAAAAAGTTATAAATAAAAAGATCTTTGCAAATAATAATTTAGGGGGGAAAAATAGGAAAGACAAGACAGACACGGCACCAAGGAGGTAGGAGAGAGGACTCCAAAGGAGAAGGCAGTGCTGGCACAATACAATTATGACCATGGCTGGAATCTAAGCAGGGGAAAGCTCAGAGAGAAAATAGAATGCCAATGATAGCTTTCATGGCAGAGGGCGTCACAGATACAGAGAAGCACAGACAGAAGAGGTATCCACAGGGAAGATATTATCCTGCACGGAGATGAGAGGACAGCATGCAAATGTACTTAAGGCAGCTGCCAGTTACAATAGTGATCATTACAGATGCAGAGAGCTCTTGAGGATATTAACTCTATAAAGTTCATCAGCTTCATGGAAGTCTGTGATGCTTTTGACAATGAAAATATAAAATAGCACAATGTGAACTTTAAATTTTTAAAATAATTCTTATAATAGTCATTTTCCACTACTGACAATAAACCAAATATTTATCCAGTATTTAAGATTCTAGCCTCCTAGAAAGCCAATGCAATAATTAATTTTATAGATTGGAAAAGAAATAATGAAATCCTACAATCTAACTCACACTGAACTCCACATATTTTTTTTTAACAGTGTTCTGTTACAAAACCTAAACATACTTTCTTCCTTGACTATATTCTTCTCCCTACCAGTAAGTTGTACTAGCTATGGTTTTAGCCCTTATCAAACTTATAACCCAATACTAAAAACATTAGTAAGGTCCTGCCTCATACATTAAACTCAGACCACAGGGGGCATGATACTCAACACGCTCTGAGTATGTGAAGGGCAAAGTATATGTAGGAAGCCTAGCCCAATAAAGAGAGCCACCTTTAAGAACCACAACCAGGCTCTTATACCAATTGTACATGCTGGGCTGGCTCCTGCCAATACTGGAGAACAGAGGGATGCTGGATAAAACTGCTACTGAAAATCTCGAGCCTTGATGTTAAAAGGTACATTTTGTCAAAAAATCTTGATTAAAATAATGCCCTGGCTACTGCCTCTTACGATGGCCTGACCTTGGCCAGCCACTGACTTGTGTATCTCTTCTGACTTTCCAGTTGTGAAACTGGCCAAATGACTATGCTCCGATCTATCTCACTCCTCAGTGCTATGCAATTCTATATTTAACCCTCTTACTACCTTAGAACAGCAGCCCTGGGAGATAATCCTGCCAGCATGGTAGGAACCTCACTAAAACTATGACTGAAGTACAAGCAAGCTAGTTAGTGGTAACAAATAAAACACATTCGAAGATCTGTGCAGACAAGCAGTAAGTATAAACTTATTCTAACACATCAAATCTTATTCATACCATTTCAAACAAGGTTTAAGAAAAAGACTTTTAACTCTTTCCTTGTTGATAATTCAAGCAATATTCAATAAAACTTACTTCCAATATAGCAAAGAAAGAAACCCTAGAGTTTAAGAGAAATGTATCTGTATGTACAGAAGTTTAATTTACATATGTATTTTGTAGATAAAGAGGCATTTTGAAAATGAAACAAATTATATAGCAAATTCATCATATCACTACAATATAAGGGAATAAACTACTTGCAGACAAGTCAAAGCAAGTAGATACTATTGCTAGGAAAATGATCAGTCACACATTTTTTTTTAAAGCAGGTACTGAATTTCTCCCCCCAAATATTATATATACTTCAGATTGTTTTTTACCGAGCCTAATTAGACAGGTTTAATATAATTCAACATGAAATTAAAACACCTCCCCAGTGTTTTCCCATCATAGCACCTCAGCAACCTGCTACCATGTCTTCAGTGAAACCTAATGAGGTCAGCCTAGCCAACTCCATCAGAGAGGACATGTGGCTGCCATGAACATTGCCTTACTCACTTCTAATCCTTACCCAAATAGCGAAGCGTATGGAAAGGAGGCGGCGCACACACACACACTATATATATATACATATATATCTTTGTTGAAGGGGAAAATTAGAAAAAGAGAGGCATTTCAACATGTCACATTAGCTAAGTGTAAGTATAATGTTAGTACACGTTCCATTATTTTATTAGTAAGGAAATTAGCAGGCCAAACCAAGGCCCGTATCAATGCATTTTCAGTACATCATTCCTTAGAGTAAAGGAAAAAGGTTCACCAAGAGCAGCCAAAACAAGTTAACCTCCCAAAAGGGGAGTCAGCCCTCCCCTATTGAAAGCTTATGAGGACAGGCTGGTCTTGGCACTTCTTAGACAGATCATGCTGCAGTATTGCTATCACAACACAATGGTAAGGAAAAAAAGAAAAATGGTTTATTAGTGTACTCCCCATGAAGATTATTCTGGCACTGGATCAAGTAATGGGTGGTCATACTCTAGGTAGCATAGCATTAAGGAGAAGGTGAAAAGGAGCAGAGCAGTAGAAATAATTCATTTTATCTCCTGTGTGATTCGATTTCATAGGGGCCATGCTAATAAGTCAAACAGACACTAAAACAACAACAACAAAAAAAACAGGCAATCATGATGCAAGAGAAGCTACATCCAGAATTATGGATTAAAAACTTACCACCTAGAAGAATAATTTATTTTTAAAATGAATCCAGAGGAGAAAGATGGAAGAAACACATTTACATGGTTAGTTCTTATGATAGCTACTTTATATTCGACAGACTTGTAACAGCATGCATTATAGAAAACTAATACAGAAAACGTAAACAGACAATCCCAAGTATATCGCACATTTTTATAACAGAGAACTACTCATCACCAAACACATGATCCTGAATATGACAGAGATTCACTGTTATCGATAATTTTTCTCCTCCTTCTGTCAGTAATTTTGCTACTATTGCCAATTAATTATCTGTGATTGGCCTAATTCAAGATAATATTAAAATGTTAATTTCTATCAAATCTCTTCCATCCCAGTTGCCAAGAAGCAGGATGCTTCATCTAATCTCCTTAGAATTCCTTGTAAGTGTAAAGAAGGGCAAATGTCCTAGATTTGCAGCAATAAACCTGTAGCAACTGACACTAGGGTGTCCACAGTTTATCTAGCCATCATGCATGCTGAGATAGCTAATAAAAAATAACATCTTTATTGGTTGCTACATTTCAAGTTATGAGTAAGATACATGCGTATGTAAAAGTATTATTAAAGCTATTAGCTTTTAAAAAACGCAATCAAGGATTTAGTAGAAACAAATCATCAAACATGTGACAAAAGCTCTAAGAGATCTGCAACTTTTAAACAAAAATTGCAATATTACTGAATTTTTTTCCTCCCATCATTAAACATTTTCTCAGTTAACAGATGCTAAACATACAACTCTTATACGTTGATGGAACCTCAAAATATCTAATGTGAAGAGAATTCTTCATGCTGGTGATCACTGATTCGGATCAATGTTATATGTGGCCAAACACAGTCAACATTATCTCCTTTGCCCAGAAACGTTAAGGGAAAGAAGGGTGCAAAGAGCAACTGCTATCACCAAACAGGCAGACGAAGCAGTGAAAACTTGATTGGCCAGTAAAAGGCAAAGAGTGGTCAGGACAACCCACTGACTGGCCATCCCCTTAACAAGCTAGATGAACGTTACACTGCGATACCCACGTCAATGTTCACACTGTGAAATGCCTGCATTTCCACGTGATATATTAGCAGTGCTATTGCCCAAGAACGCTTCCTGAAAGGATCTATATTCTCTTAATCTGTATTGTCTCTGGACACGTGCTACATACGTTTACAAGTGATTCTAAATTCACCTCTTATAAATGGCAAAAGGAACTTTCTATTTGAGTATTTTGAGATATGTCAAAATGATGTTAAAACTGGGATTGTATCACTCTGTCTCCTTTTTGCTTTCTGGTGGCGGAACCCTTTCTCCCCTGAATCCCTTCCTCTTTTAACAGCTAGTGTCCAAGTTAATGGTCCCATAGAGCTCCCTGGTGCCTTTCTTAAAGGGGAACACTGTATTTTCGAAAAAAGGAAATTATGTGACTAGCAGAATATCTAAGTATCAATTCTTTACATGTAATTTTTAAATTTTAAGATATATTACAGCAAATCAAGGGATCATATACTCTACGTGGACATCTGACTTTTTCTTCAAAATAAAATTAGAATTTGTTAAATATGGATTAATCTATATTTACTTAGAGCAAAAATTACTTCATAGTCCCAGGTTCATTTATTTTGAAGAGTATTATGAAGAGTTCGAGTAAATGCTAAAATTCTACTTCTACAAAACTTGCAAGTGTATGTACAACTATACATTGTAAAACTTTATCCTCTATCTTAAGTAGATGATGAGAGAATCATTAGATTATTTTATTATTTCAACTAGTAAAAGACTAGGTAAACTGAGGACCATAAGAAAGCCTGAGTTATTCGACTCACTATGGTATGTAGTGAAAACACGATTCACATTTTCAGATCTAACTTATATTCTCTCCATTATTACCTATCAACTGCAATTCTCAACCAAAAAACAAAAACAAATAAAAGCTCTGTCTGCCATCTACTGGACAAAGAAGATACAGAACACACACATTACTGCTCAAACAACTCCAGGCACCAAGACCATGCATTTAAAATCATACTCTGTGCTAGTACGTGAAACAAAAAAATTCTTTCTTTTTTCAAAGGTTTCTTTTTATTCACCTGCCATGGGAACCATGTAGAGAATGAGGAACAGGGAGGCAGAAAATAAATGTGTACAAACATAAAAGTAGAGATAAGCCCGACATGTTTTGGATCTAAGTTTCACAAATCCATACTTACATGGCCATGTAGATCTGTATTAAGAAGCATTATTGCACAGGTAAGGCAATGGACTCCATCTGAAGAAAGACACAAGAAAAGAAAGCATGAATTCGCTTTTTACTGTTGGATTCCACCTTGTTATCATTAATAGGATACATTCAGAACCTATGAAAACAGTACTGTGCTAGGTACAGGCTTATTTGTTTTAAGAAACAAAAAATGGATGAGAATAATTTCCATATGGAAAGAACCTCAATGCACAGAATTGGACTCCACTATTGATAAACCGTTCTTACCTCTCTGGAGGACAATTTGGTAGTACACACGTAAAGCCTTGAAACAGTGTCTTTTGACACAACAAATTGGCTTCTAGGGTTTTGCGCTACAGCAATAATTAAGGATCTATACATAGTACAAGGATATCTAGACAAGCATTGCTTACAACGGAAGACAAGTAAATATGATCCTCTAAAGACACATTTCTGTTAGGTTGAAGTCATATAAAAATGTTCTCCAAGTAAAGATTCTCATTTCCAAACATTAGAATTAGTTGTTCTCCTTAGTCTCACTCTACTAATTCTCTATACAAGTACAGTAGATAATAGCAGTTTCAGATGCAGTAAAAATCTTACCAATTTACGCTAAATTAGAAAGGTCTAATTACTGCACTCATATATTAAAGGCAGGGTATTTTTAACAGATAAGTTCTTTAGTATAGTAGGTGATTTCTGTTATCAGTGTCTCTTAGTAGATGCTACCAAATGGCTAAAAGTGTATTTATTCTAGTACCATTTTATTATCACAAGTTCTACATATATTTAAAACAAATTCTCCAAAGTATTTTAAGAACTCAGCAGCCAACTCTCAAATATCCTTATCAACAGCCAATTAAGTACACGAATCTGTATTTCTTTTTTTATCCAAGAATGTAAACATCTTCTTAGATTTGCAGAAAGTTCTCATAAAAATGGCCCGCTTTTATCTCTTTTATTCTCTTGTCAGGGCTAATGGTGACAGAGATAGTGAATAACTGGTCCAAATAGCATCAGTTTACCGATAGGAATGTGGCCTTCATCAGGTGATGAATTAACTTTGACTACAGCCTGGGGGATGGAGAGAAGGTAGAGGCAAGCACCTTGGCCAGTACCAAGCACATTATCGAGGTTAATCGGCAATACTGCAGCTAAGAGGTAATTATTATTTCTTATGAATCTAGTCTCAGTGATTTACTCCATAATCTGTAAGTTTATGAAAGATTTTCCAACTGAAAGTCAGAGTGCTTCACTTCGAACACTGAAAAGTGTGCTTTATTGCAGGAACTGAAATGGAGGAAAGATCTCTCTTCAACAAGGTAGGGTCCACAAATACACAGTTTACAATTAAGTCGGTTACTTTGTAAAAATAGTATAATAAGCCTAAATTCATAGTTTATTAAAATCATCAACAGAAGTTTGTGGTATCGTTATAATTAATATCAAGCAAAAGCACTAGAGACACACTGCAACCACCAGTGGGATTTGTTCATGTTTCCAAAACTAACCCCAAAACTCTGGATACATGAGCTTTCAACAAGAAACGTAGAGACCAAATGTATAAGAAATAAGAAAACTGAAATTTTATTACATAAAATCTTAGAGTGACAAATCACGAACATTTCAAGTATGCTGTCATACTAGAGAAGTGGAAAACAAAATAATTTAAATAAGAGTAAAGGATAACATGCTGTCCTTAAATATTATCCTTTTACAGAATATTTAATGACATGAGAAAATGCTCACAATGAAAGAAAATGCAGATAAAAACAAAATTCTAATTCCAATTTGACATTAAGTATTAAATAGACTAGAATGAAGTAAATAGAAGTGTTAGTAGTTATCACTAGCTAATTGAAGTTACATAATTTCTCATAGTAAAATTTAACTTTCATAATAAGGAAAATAAGAAATTCAAGGATTTGTATCAGATTACCTTGTGAAGCAATAGTATCTGGGTTACAGTAAAAATATCTATTGGAGAAGTGTATTAAAACTCTCTCTCGTTCTTGAGTTTCTCCCACGAGAGAAAATGCTTTAAAGAAATACCTACAAGAGAATTAAAAATTTAAAAAGTGAAATTTTAGAAAATGCTATCACACTGTTTGACAGTTAAAAGTCAATTTATACAAACCTAAGATATTAATTATACAAGGTAAGATATTATAAAGTTATTCTCTGCCTGCAAAAAAAATCATTTACTAGATAGCCATTCAATATAAATTTGTATTAGGATTTAAATTCTATAAAACACTTTGGAAGGCCAAGGCAGGCATTCATTTGAGGTCAGGGGTTCAAAACCAGCCCAGCTAACATGGCAAAACTCCACCTCTAATAAAAATACAAAAATTAGCTGAGGGTGGTGGTGGGCGCCTGTAATTTCAGCTACTCAGGAGGCTGAGGTAGGAGTCACTCGAATCCAGGAGGCAGAGGTTGCAGTGAGCCAAGATTATGCCATTGCACTCCAGCCTGGATGACAAAGTGAAGCTCCGTCTCAAAAGCAGAAGAGGAAAAAAAGTCAACTTAAAAGATGACAGGGTGATAACAGAGTGGTCAATACATCAAGAAAGCCTTGGGAAGGTAGATAATTTCCTCATTATGACCACGTGTCAAGTAGCCAATTTTAAAAGGTCAGATAAAAAAAAAAAAAAAAAAGACCACTTAAGACTCAATACATCATCATAAAGGCTAGGTTTTAAAACTCTACACGCATCAGGGTGCTTCTGTAATTTTGTTACATGATTGTCATCTCTATTAAAGCCACTATAACTTACATTGCTTTGTACACAGGAGATTTCTATGAATTTTGTCTATTATCACATTTTAATATTAATTTGTTACGGGAGGAGGAAATCGGGAGATATAAGTAATTTATTCCTTATATAATGAAATCAGTTTATGTATAAAAATATCTTTACGTTATAGGAAGTGTGCCAAAAACCACACACTAATCTACTCAGAGTCACTAAGAGCATTGTTTATTTGAGATTAATCCAGATGACCCTCCATTGACAATGTAGATCCATTTTCCTAAACATGAGATAGGAAGGAAAAAAAAATCATTCAAAATGTCTAAGAAATCTTACTATTGTAAGAAACACACCATAAGCTTCATTTCTATGAAAATTTTGCCTTCTTCTTTATTATAGATATAATTAAGGTTAACAAACTATATATTGACAAAACTTTGATTTTTCTTAACTTTGATAAACAACATCAGAATGCAAGGCAAAAGTATACATCTCTCAGCCACTGTTAACTGTTTTGTCAGAAAGCCTGAGTACCTCTGCTGCACGAAAAGAGTCCCACAAGAAATCACTGGAGTACTACACTGCAGTCCAAACACCCTCCCTTCACCTCCCAGGCCTCAGTTTCTTCATTTGTAAAATTAAAGGGTTACGCTAGCTGATCTCAGAATTCCTCCAGACACTGACATTTTATAAGTAGTGTTTAAAATTAAACGCTTACTAGGTGTTATCTTCAGCTACTCTTAGAAACTTGCAATACAATATAATGTAAAAAGTGAGAATCAGTGAGTTTTAGACGTCTTCCTTTGAAAAGGTCAGAGAAAGAGGGTATTGCTGGAAACATTTTTACAGATACTTTCTACTGATTATGTTGACATTCATTTTTATTCCACTGAAGAGTTAATTCCAAAGTATCACCTTAAAAGGCTATTGGGGCTGGGCAGGGTGGCTCATGCCTGTAATCTTAGCACTTTGGGAGGCCAAGGCAGGTGGACTGCCTGAGGTCAGGAGTTTGTGGCCAGCCTGGCCAATATGGCAAAACCCTGTCTCTACTAAAAATACAAATTAGCCAGGTATGGTGGTGCGTACCTGTAGTCCCAGCTACTTGGGAGGCTGATTCAGGAGAATTGCTTGAACCTGTTAGATGAAGGCTGCAGTGAGCCAAGATGGTGCTACTGCACTCCAGCCTGGATGACAGAGCGAGACTCTGTCTCAAAAAAAAAAAAAAAAAAAAAAAAAAAAAAAAAAAACAGGCTATTGGGCCATAGGAAAAAAATTCTACAGTCTATAAACTCTGTGTGTGTGTGTGTGTTAAGCTGATCATTCAAACACTAAACTCCCTACTCAAAACAATTGAAAACAGAGTCTTGAAGAAATATTTGTACACTCATGTTCATAGCAGCATTATTCACAGTAGCAAAAGCATGGAACCAACCCAAGTGTCTCTTGAAGCTAACGGTGGTATTTATATATTCCTCATAATGGGCTATTACGCAGCCTTAGAATGGAAAGAAATTCTGACATATGCTACAGGAACGAACCTTGAAGACATTATGCTAAGTTAAATGAATCACAAGAAGGCAAATAATGTTTATGTCCATTTACATTAGAGTAGTCAAAATCATCAAAAAGAGAAGTAGAATAGCGTTCGCCAGGGGCAGGGGGAAAGGAGGGGAAGGAAAAAAATCCTTGTTTAACGAGTATGGAGCTTCAGTTTTACAAGAATCATGGAGATGGAAGGTGGTGATGGCTGGACAACATTATGAACGTTTTTAATGCCATTTACCGTATACCTGAAAATTGGTAAGATGATAGGTTTTATGCTATCTGTATTCTACCACAATAAAAAAATGAAAAACAGAAAAATTCCTACAGATGGCATTTTTTATCCAGATTTGCTATGCTACCAATTGTTTACTATCTGAACTCAGGCCTCCCATTAGGTGCAGAATATCGGTTCATGTGTCATTTCATTAAATGCATACATTTTTCTTACTCCTTGCTGTGTTTAAAATCTATAATACAATTTTAGCTAAGTTCACAAAGTACAGGTTAAACATCCCAAACCCGAAAATCAGAAATCCAAAATGCTTCAAAGTCAGAGATGCTCCAAAATCTACAACACTTTTCAGTGCTGAAATAAGGCTCCAAGGAAACGCTCCTGAAGCGTTTCAAATTTTCAGATTTGGGATGTTCAACTGGGTAAGTATAACACGAACATCCCTAAACCTAAAAAAATCCAAAATCCACAACACTTCTGGTCCCAAACATTTTGGAGAAGGAATACTCCACCTATAGCTGGAGGTTTAAGAAAAAAAATAAGATTCTAGCTAGAAGGCATTACTTTCTCCTCTAAGAACTAATCGTTTGAAGGTAATGAAGAGCAGCAGTGAGGCTTAGTCATACCTGAGTGACTGATCCAGCGTCATTCCTGTAAAATCAAAAAACTTCAGATATTCTTCGGCAACTAGTTTGCTAAATTCATTGCTATAAGGAAACAGAATAGACTTGGTTATTGAAAGGTAAACGATTTAAAACACACACAAAACAGGAGAGAATTCAGATTCCAGCAATGGGTCAGAACGTACTTCTTGCCAAGGTGTTTTGCAACATCTGATCTTTTGAATCTGTCCAGATGGTAAAGGCGTTTGGCCAATCTTTTCGCTGCTTCCACATTGCTGCTGGTACCATTACTGAGATTTCCTGGGGTCTCCTTTTCCAAAATTTCAGTGCTCCCCATTTCGGAATGAGCTTCTAGCCGTGTTGTTTTCACCCCAGCATTGCTATGATAATTGATAGAGAAAATAATAGATATTTCTTATATGGCAAAAAGGAAAATATCTGATGAAATATTGATAGTTTCTTTTAGTTTGGCTACACTATCTTAGATGAGATCATTTTATGTTTAAATATTCATAAAAGTAGTTTCAGTTACCATATTTTTAAGAACTAAAGAAAAGATTGCCTAAATCTTAGGCAAGCAGTTCCCAAACGTTTTGGTCTCTAGACCTTTACATTCTTAGAAGGATTCCATAGAGCTTCCCCTAATGTGGGTTATACCTACAGATATTTACCATAGTAGTAATGAAAATATACACATTTTTAACTCACTTAAAAATAAATCTGTTATATATAACAAATATTATAAAGATACAACTATGTTTTCCAAAAGAACATAAAATTTAGTGACACAAATCACAATGTTTCACCGTTTTTTTTTTTTAAACACAAATTTCTTTAATGGCTGGCTTACTAGAGGACAGTTGGACTGTCCTCTAGTAAGCCATTAGAACAGCCATTTCTGTATTAGCCATTAGAACAGCCATTTCTATATTCAACCAGTAACAATATATTATTTTGGTTGAAGCACATTGAGAAAATCTGCCCTCATTCATCTTTCGTTAAAAAAAAGAAATATGTTAATATCTTTTTCAGATAACTGTGGATATTCTTTTTTGATATAACACCAAAATGAGATAAGTGGTAGTTTCTTAAAGGATATTCTTACTTGCAATATGGAATCTAAATTTGTGTCAATTAACTTTTTGTACTCTTATATTAAAATCTATCTTATACTTTGAATGGATCTTTTAACCAACACATGATTTTATAACACATACATTGGTTATTTGCAAAACATGTGTTGACACATTTCATTATATAACCTTAAAAAAAAAATCACATTTACTAATGTCACGATTAATGAAAAGTCTAAATATTGGGAAGCTGCCAAACCTTCAGTGGCAGATACAAGTTTTCCAAAATTGCAACGTTGGTTCCAAAGCTCAAATGTAATCATTTGCTAAAAATATTATCAGCCGTTTTTCTTAAAGTAATAGACTTACTCCATTTTCAAGAAAATGTTTGCCAATAACCATAGTTTGCCATTCTCTCAAGGAAAAATGACATTTAATTTAAAAAGTGACTATTTTTTAACCTCAACTTAAATGACAGATGAATGTTTTTCCCGGAGACGATCAGGAACAGAAGTGCTTTATTCCCATTTCATCACACACAAAATTAAAAAGACATGAACTCAAGCGTTGAAATGAAATAAACAAACTGTACTGGTTTCATTAAGGATTGTTTTTAAAAGGTGAAACTGGCCTTTAATTTCATTTTGAGCACATGACAGTGGAGAATACAATGACTGGAAGAGTCTGGTGCCACTGCCTGAAATTCTGCTAAGACCCCCACTGCTGTTTTTGTACCATACGATATCAATGCAGTGAAAAAGAAAAATAATGTTGTAGTAATTAGTGTACCATAGTTTTGATCTCACAAACCTACTGAAGGAAGAAAGCTCCACAGGCAACACGTTGTGAACTTGGCCCTAGATAGGGCTTAAAGACTACAGCCTGTGGTCAGCTATAGATGGTTCCCATGTATTTGTAACACTGAAACTAATGAGGATACATTAATTTCCAAATCTTTATCTTAACTTGGAAGTAAGACATGCTCATGATAAAATGTGCTTAAACGGCCTTCGAACACACTTACCACAGATGCTAAACTAAGGGCGGTCAGAATTTTTCCATAATGGACCAAATCATAAATATCATAGACTTGCAGTACACATGTGGCCCCTGTCACACATGCTGCTTTGCTGTTGTTGTTTTGTCACAACCTTAAAAAACCTAAGAGCCATTCCAGGCTGGGCAGAACTGGGCCCATGGATGGGAGTTTATCTGCCCTTGCTCTATCCCATAGTTCTTTAACTTGGCTTGCACTAAGCAGAATAACCATTTACTGTCTAAACCAGGACACTCTAAAGGGGAAACATGCTATTACAATCGTTACAAAATAAAGAAAGCATTATCAATAAAAAAAAGTAGTACTGCTAATGGGCATTTTTTCTTTTGGGGTGATGAAAGCTTTCTTAAGACAGTGGTAACGTCTAAACAACTCTGAATATGCCCAAACCAACGGATTTTATACTTTAATATAGTAAGTGATATAGTATTTCAATGATCTCCAAGGTGTTATGTTTTTAAAAATCTGAATCTAAAAAATAAGTTGTAAACTTCTATCACTAAATGACAAAAACCATTGTAGCAAAAATAAATGCATTTCTAAGCAGAACTGCTCTATCTTGCCACTTATTCTACCGCATTTACAAGTTCCCTTTTCCCACTGCTCTACCTAGGAAGCGCTGGCCTTATGCTTCAAGGTCACTGAGAAAGCAGCCAGGGCTCCTGGACAACCAGCTGGTATAACAAGTAACTGCAGAGTCTCATACTCCCTTCAACCACCACAGGATTAGAAGGAGTTAACTGTCCCTAGCAACTCTTCTCCAAGCACACCGTATCAGCAAGCACCCGACTTCCTGCCCTTGAAATGAAGCTCTAAGAACAGGGAAAAGAGAGAGAGTCTTTTAGAGTCAACTGTGTAAAATCGTCAATGACACAATCCCAGATGACACCATGGGAGAAGCTGGGAATACAAAGCTAGGTCTACCAAACCCATGCTGACTTATTTCACCATAGCTATTAGTGGTAATAGTTCACTTATTAAAACTCTAAGTCAAATACCCAACCACAGTCAATATCAATGGTAGAACAGCAGACAATCACTGGAACTGACCCAGGAAAACGAAGATGTATGGTAACTCTCAACACCCTGTACAGTTTCCCCACAGACACACCCACCAGTTAAATTAAACCGCTTCATTACGATAAAATCTCCATGAAAATGTATTTTTAAATGCATGATTTTTTTCATCCCACATCTTCCATTTCAGACTTAACATTACATGGCTGGGTGTGCTGGCTCAAACCTGTAATCCCTGCACATTGGGAAGCCAAGGCAGGAGGACTGCTTTAGCCCAGCAGTTTGAGACCAGCCTGGACAACACAGTGAGACCCCCCCAACTATGACATAAAAATTTTTTTTAAAAAGAGACTTAACACTACCATTCAGTTTTGTGAAATCTATCCCATCAGGAAACTGAATAATCATTATCGAGAGTATAACCCATGAGAAAACTCACAGTAGAAATTTCTTCATGGTTATTTTGTGTTTTCCCACACAAGTGAAAGAAATGTAAAATATTTATTCCGAGAACTATGTTAATTACAATCAAGTACTCTTTATAATTACACACAAAACAAAACCCTTGGAGTTGTGTTTCCATGCGTGCTTTTCCTATCATGTAGTAAAAACAAATGTCAAAGAAAGGATTTTCTTCTTAATTAAACCACTACTTACTGCTCACTTCCCAGGGAAAATTCATGGCATTTATTTAATCAGTCTGTGCAAACAATGTACTTATACCACATATATAATACTGGCCCAATTTTGTTCAAATACAAGTTCTCATTCTAATGATAACACATTTTAAAAATGTACTGCTCAAAATCATTCCATTCCTCATGTTACTCATCCTCCATATTTGCCCCTTTTCTACTATGCTGCCCAGTCCAGGTGATTTCACCTCATTTTCTTCACATTCACCAAAACGATATAATTGCAATATCTGTGTGTGTCAGACTTTCTGGATCTTCTTCAAAAAGGCTTCAGTAAAAGGAGAAAATAAAGAACAAAGGATAAATATCCCTGTCCCTAGATGGCTTCATTCTATCCTTTTCACAACTTAGGAGATTATTTGAACAAGAACCGAAATTGCACCTTTTAAATCAGAAAGCTTGACAATACGATGGCAATACAAACTTACCAGCAACCAGACAGACACCAAGCAGAGCCCATCACAACCCCTGGGGTGTGCCTGGACCATCCTTCCTCTCTGAAGCCCCGTCCAGTATTCTTCAGCTCCCAAGTTCAGTGTTTGCCGAGCCTCACAGCCTTCCAAGAACCTGACTCCCTGTGAGGTCACACTGCTATGACCTCACATTCTCAGCTGAGTGTTCATTGTTGGGGTTTTTGTAATGTTTTTGCAGTTCTAATAAAAACAGGAGCCAGAACACAAGGGCCACTGTTTATCAAGAACATAAGAAACAGTGAGCCCAGTCTCGCTCACACTTGATAAAGCCGACTCAGCGATCCCTCTCAGAGGGGATAACACCCCATTTTGTTTCCTTGAATACACAAGGCATGGCAGCTCTAGTCTGTTGAGCATGAGATGCTTTCTACAGTTTGGATTTTCTCTTTTCTATAGTTCAGTATTATTTTTCCCTATTTTTCTTGATCAAATCACACTTTACAACCTAGTAAGATAAATCCCTACCAGTCACTTAAATGTGTAAGAGGCTTCCCAAAAGCTTCTCCCTGTGTTCCAGAAAATGCTTCCCTGGGGCCTTTACCTCTGTCCTCCATGTGAACATGGTAATATTCTCTCATCAAAACACGCCATCATCAAATGAAGGACCAGATCATTGAGTCTGATCACCAGGCCTTCTCACAAGATTGGCAGGTTTTCCAAATAAAAATAGGGTACCCAATTAAATTTGAATTTCACATCAAAAACCAGTGTCTACTATAAGTATGTCCCAAATACTGCACGGAACATACTTATACTAAAATATTCATCGTTCGTCTGAAATTCAAGTTTAACTAGGCATCTTATATTTTATCTGGCAAAACTTCCTGAAATTTTTTTTTCTAAACTTTATTTAAAGAATTCCAATAATGGTGTTCCATGATTGTCAACTGGTAGCTTATTCACAGTCAGAATCCTTCTCGATTTTTTCACTTGTTTCTGTGATTTTATTCCTACTATTTTTCTACAGTTTTCTGAAGAATCAGTAGATTATAGGTAACAGTTTTATCAAGACTTTGTTGCCTATAATCTACTGATTCTTCTCTAATGTCCTCTAAATATAAACAA